TTTAATTTTTATAGCATTTGAATATGCTATTCTTTGTAAGAAAGACAGCATACGCTTTTATTTTTTGTTATATGCATTTATAGAATAAAATGGTATTGTACAGTAGTGTACTAACATGAAACTGGCTTGAATGCGATTCTTCCGATGTCAAACATGAATAGCAAAGTAGCATGTTCATCAAATGCTTCGTTCTGTGATAGTTTGTTTTTCTTTAGAGAGAAATATAAAATCTTTTTCTAAAAAAAAGTGAACTTTTTGAGAATTTTTTTACAGAAGGGAAACGGTTCTAATTTAAAAATTTTCGACTCGTGGGTTCGAAGAACAAGAAGTTCTAAAAATTAATTAAAAATGTCAGAAATAAATTAGGACATTTTATATACTATTCATTGTAAGTACTACAAATAAATTTGGAAGAATCAATTAGGGCCGCATTTAGCATAAGGTGCATTAGGCACAAGCTCGGGCTTCACTCTCCATGGGGCCACATTTTCAAGCCTTACTCCTCACAAACAATAATTATCCAAAAATGTTACTAAACAATTAATCCTATGGAAACTGCGAAATTAATTTGAAAAAGTCAGAAATTAATGATATTTAAAACTATAATCCGAGCAGCAAATGCAACTAACGTAATCAATAACAAAGTGATCTGGAAAAGGAACTAAACTACAGTAGTAGTGGCAAATAAAAAATAATTGTATACACACGATAAATAAACCAAATACACCAAATTCACTAATGTATTTCACATTATTATCATATTTGTTTCGGTAAAGTGAAGGAAAGTATCCAAACAAAATTCACAAATAAAAGAACAATTCTTTTTTTTTCTTCCTTAAATTCGTTTCCACAGATATGAAGAAAAAACGAGTGGGTCCCAGCAGCGAGAAATAGAAAGAGTCGAATCCGTGGCGGCGTTTAAAGCCGAACAGAAGTCCTCAGAGTAGGGGAACACTCGCATATAAGACAGAATATGAAGGGAGCCCGTGTTTAGTTTACGAGAGTCGATCCACCTAGTGACCATCCTGATCCTTCACCTTAATCCATCAAATGGTCCAAAAAAAGAAGAATCGAAAAATATTAAATTTGTAAACAGTGGATAGATGTGTACCAAACGAGATCAACCTAACAAGTGTCAGAAGGGAAGAATAATTTAATTTAATTTAATTTAAAAAATCAAGGACCAAGGATCGAGCAGACTTTCATTCGGAAAATTCATCGATTAACATTAAGTAACATTAAGGATCAATTTCGATTGTCCAGTGGACCTCAGTTGAGGTCGAAGCCCTCCAGGATGCTTCTGCAGCGGAGGATAACCTGTGTGATTCTGTTAGGACTGTTCTCTGGAGAACTAGTGTCCTGTGGCAAGGAGAAGAGCAGTCCAGTGCTCAATGAACCCGACTTCGACACTCGTAAGCCACTTCAGTGCTACTCTTTACTTCGCTATTGGTGCATATACGTGCTTTCGACAACGATCTCGCAAAGTCGTCTATTCCTTTTCTTTTTCTTTCGTAATAATCACCGAGTGTCAATTGACAAGTAGTTAATCGGTAGCTGAAGATATGGTGATGTTTGAAACTGACACCACGAGTGCCATTATGCAACCACTATTCCGACTGGACGAATCGAGAACCGAATCATAATTGAAGATTGTTCGTTCGATGAAGAGATAATAAGAGAATTCTGCGAGTTTGAAGAGGATTGAACAGGTCGATAAGTGTCGATTGATTAGCGAACAGTTTTATTTAACACGGCACACGTAACTAGCGTAGAATGAAGACAAATCGCGCCACGAGCGAGTAATTATTCCTTGTATTTTCCTTTTACGATCATTGAGCGTATCTGCCTTTCTCTTTCCCGCACGCTGGACAATTGTGGAAAACGATTATGTCGCGGAAGCGTATTATGTTACACGCGTTTCCTTTAGTTGTCAAACGGTTTTCTTTTTCCGACGAGTCTCGATGCCTTTGAGAATTCTTTCGTGAGAACGACTATTTGGAGTGTTTTTTTTTTTCTTTTTGGTGAAGAGGGAGAAGGACGAGTTTGACGATTTTTTCATAGACAAGATTGAGTAGTTGAAATTTGAGGTTTCGTACTTTCTCTTTCCACATATGGATTGATCATGAGGAAATAGCGACTGTCGATACAAAACAACGTATTAGGGAAATGTTCGTGAATTTTCTGAACGCTTAAAGGTCGAGTTTTCAAGCTCCTTGCGACTATCACAGGAAGTTCGATTGTCGGATTTGTAAGGCAGATTACGATACGTACATTCCCTTCGGAAGCTGGTGCGGGAAAATTATAGGACAGGTTATGTACTTTCCAGTTGCAAATTTACTATAGACTTGTTTGATAATGTTGGTTCTACAGTATGGTAGAGCAACCTTTGCAATTTTTATTCGGTTGATAACTGATTCCATTGCTGAATTTTTCATAGAGTTTTCATTTCTGAATGTAAATTTACATGTCTAAGTGCAAATAATATTATACTGGAAACTATAAAATTTGTTTCAAATATACTGTTCGAAATAATTGTTTGGAAAGGGAATTAAATTGATAAAACTGAACCTCTCTGAGCAACAAATGCATAAAAAAAGGGTTCTACGTAATATCTTCTAAATGATCATATTTAAATAATATTTTCTAGTTTTAATACTGCTTCTAGAAGTTTCGAATTTAAAGACTGTTTGGAATTCTGTCAGTATAAAATACTCAATTATTTCTACATTGTTTTCTTCCAATTCCAAACATTTGCATCAATTTCCAATAATATTCAGACTTCACTAATTTGCAATAATATTTAATCTTTG